TTTAGAAGAAATGGATATGGATCAATTAGAACGATTGTTCCTTAGCGGATCACGATCTCCATCGATCGTATCAAATTATTCATCAAATGTACCCTGGAAGTCAGATGTTCCTTTTGAGTTATCTGAAATATCTTGGAAAGATGATAATGTGGATAGTAATACTCATGGAGAGTCAGTAGCGACGAATAATCATTCTATTGATCCAGATGAGCAGGTTATTATCTTTTAATAAGCCTGAAATATTTCATGAAATATTTCATGAAAATGTATTTATTATTTATTCGACATGATATTTACTTATTATTTTACACTTAGTTACGAATGGGTTTGTCTATGATACAAGAAGCTTACAATCGCAAATATTTGGCAGCGTCCGCTAGTTTATGGGGCGGTGAAAAAGGAAAGGTAATAAATAATACGTGTAAAACACACAATCATTAATAAGTTTCAACTTATGTTACATTTGTTTGAAGTGTTTATAATCTTTTTACATGTTAAAAATAATACATTTTAGCAAAATAAGAATAAAAGTGAAATCGCTCAACTTAATCAAAAAATTCGTGAATTGAGTGAAGCTCTTATCAAGGAAGAGGCAGAAAAGAATATGTTGTTAATTTCCAAGAATACAATAACGGACCGATATAATAAACTATGGAATGAGGTACTTAAACATTATTTTTTTTTTTTTTTTTTTAATTAATTTAATTTATTTATTTATTTATTATTATTATTATTATTTTAAATATCTACATAATTTAACATAATTTTTTTCTAAATTTTAGCATCGAAATTGCACAAATAAGTCAGCAGGTGTGGGAACTAGTAATAGTATAATTACAGTTATTAATAACGGTAAACAAGAAATACGGAATTATCTAAAGACACTTGAACCTGAAGAGAGACAAGCTCAGTATGTCATATCATAGTAATTAAATATATTTGTCAATGAATATTTTAATTGTTATATATTAATATATGATACGGGTCGTGATATTATTAGATTAGCTGAATTTCTTGAATGTTGTCATCCACATGACATTCACGCTCAACAAGCAATATTAGAACATTATGTAAAAACAACTTTTGACGTAGTTGGAACCCTTCCAAATGAATTAGCTACTAAAATTCTTTCGATGTTACCAGCCGAAAATCTTTGTTGTGCTAGAGAAGTATCAAGACGTTGGCGAGAAATGGTTAATGAACCAAATCTTTGGAAAGCAAAATGTTTATCAGCTACTCAAGATGATCCTGTTCCTCTTTCATATCCTTCTGATCCTAAACAATGGGAAGAGGTTTATCGTGGTCTTCATTTTCGTGAACACAATTGGGTTCTTGGTAAAGTGCAGTCAGTTAAATTCCTCAAAGGACATACTGCAAATGTTACTGCATTAAAATTGAAAAAGACTACATTAGTTACTGGAAGTTATGATGAGACTGTACGAATTTGGGATATGAGGAATGGTAGGTGTATGAAAATTTTACAGGGAAAAGCTGTAAGTTGTGTTGATTTCATACTAGAAATGAGGATGGTTGCTGCTGGATTTAATGAGCAAGGGTATATACTCATAATTAATTTAATTATTGATTTATTTTAGTTATATTTTGCCTTACGTCTTTCCCGATATTTCTATATATATTTAAAGTAGGGCACATGTTTGGCACATGGATTCGGGTGAAGTACTACTGACACTGACAGCACATAATCGCGGTATCAAGGGATTATCAATGAATAAAAAATATATAGTTACAGCAGGTCATGATATGTCTGTCATTGTATGGGATTTAAAAGAAGGGACGAAATTGCATACTTTCAGAGGATTTGGTAATATGGTATGTGATATATTTTAACACAGAGTTATGAATTAATATATATATATATTTATACTTACGGTCGATAACTTTGTTTGATAGCTTCTTGGAATTCAGCTTTTGGGCGACAATAATCTGATAGCTATAAATAGTGATGGCTGGATTCGTACATATGCACTTGAAGAAAAACTCCAAATTCATCAATACAAAATCCCAGATAATTCGCATATTCAGTGGTTTTCTGCATCAGGAATGGATGTAACATGTTCAACAACTCGTACAATATATCAACTTCGATGGCAAAACAAATACATTAAAACGGGTAAAAAGACAAAAGGTATAGATGAAATAATAATTGAACCGGAATTATCTATGGATCCATTGATAAAACAGAAGGTTGCATCAGAGGCAGAAATATTCTGTGGAACGACTGATAATACTAAAGATAGAATTATTTTTAGTACAAGATTTAATAGCAGGACACATAATAATAAAAGTATATACGTTTATTCACAAGATAAAGGGATTAATAGGTTTGGAGGGTTGTGGGAAAGTATGGCTGATCAAATGACCACAAACAACATGGGACCTTTATGTATGGATGTTGATCATGAAAAAACCGTTATTGGATCAATGAGTGGATTGATTTATGTTTTAGGATTTGTTGGAGATAGAGAATGATTATAAATGGTTCTTGTTTCATTATAGATGTAATTTTTATGAAGCAGAAAACAAAGTGTGAATGTTTGAATAGTGGTTTTGACATGTTCTTTATATAACATTTTTGTTTGTTTTGTTGAGTTTATGGAAGCATTTATGATCTAATTGTTATTTCAAACATACAAAGTTATATAACCTTTTTTTTTTTATTTTCTCTAATATTGAAAACTGTAAACCGATTTTAATAATGCTTTTAATAATGCCTTTAATAACGCTTTTAATTTTAAGAATTCGGTACGTATATGATAGAATTAGTAGATTATTTTAGATGTATTTTTGAAATATGTTTTGTCAAAGCTGAATTAGAAGTTGGAACCTGAAAATTTCATATTTCTAATATCTTTTCAACAGATAATTATCGAATATTATTAGTGCAAATTCAGAAATAAATGTGCAATAATAAAGAATTAAAAAAGTGGGTTGTAAAGTCTCAGAAGTCTTAGATTGACAAGAGATAATGCCAAGAATTGATTAATACTATACTGTATGCTCGTAGTTACAATTCAGATTAATATCCCACAGCAAAGGCAGGGGATGGGACTATATATTATATAGACCTGTCACCTGTTTTTGCTGTGAGCGTCCCCGTGTAACGAATTTATAATTGCCAACAGAATAATAATCTAGTCTTTCGTAATAATATCCTTATATGTAGTAAATCTTTTTATTATAAAATTATGTAAAAAAAATAATTTTAGAAATATAATTAGGGAATTGCTATTTCCACCCCTCATTTTTGTTAACGCCACCCCCTAAATTTTAAAAAATGCTTCGGAAGAGGTATTGTTATTAAGAAAACCCTCCTTTTGATCTTAATAAAAGTTGTTCATCAGGCCTTTCTGGTTCTAATATAGTAAAATCATTAAAATCAGACCAATAGTTTTTTTTTTTAAAAGTAAATGAAAGTTAATTAACTTCGGATATATATATCTTAGAAACTACTGGTCTGAATATAATGATTTTACTATTATTAGAACCAGAAAGGCCTAATGAACAACTTTTATCAAGATCAAAAGAAGGGTTTACTTAATAAAAATATCCATTTTGAAGCACCTTTTGATTTCTGGGGATGGCATTAGCAAAAATATGGGGTGGAAATAGCAATTCCCTATAATTAATATTTATTACATAATGTTTTTTTTTTTTACATTTTACAGCTTAAAAAAAAAAACTAATTAAATGATAAGAAAAATTGTAACTTTACAATTAGTAAAGTTAAAATTTAAACCCTTAGACTGAAATCCTTGAGCAGTAAGTGAGGATCGAGATCGGGTAGGTGAGTTGGCTCGGTCTTCTTTGCATTTATCATTCTTATCGAAATTTTCATCGTCGGATTCATTGCTACTTTTATTTTCACAGTTAGTTCTATCATTACCGTCACCTTCATTGCTTTCTTCAGTTTCACTATTATCATTTTTGTAAATATTTTTAAATTAATAGCATGTAATAAATATAAAATAAATATAAAATATAATATGTTGTACCATTTGTGTAC